ATACATATATATTTATTCAAATATTTAAGGATCGATCAATCGAAAGGAAGAAGAAGGAGAAGAAAAGTAATCGAGGATAAGGATCGATCTATAGATCGATCAGTGATGACTTAAAAAGAGAACGATCCAATTAATAGGGATAGACTATAATAGACATTATAATAATTGAATTGAATTTTTCTTGTTAAGTCTTACGCTTCTTTTTACTTTTTACTTTCTTTTTTTTTTTCGTTTTCGTTCTGTTTCATTCGACGACAACGATCTTGAAGAAGATAATAATTAATTATACTATTATTATTACTATTTGTTATAACGATTACATATATTGAATGTAATTTTTTATTGGATTGTGGCTTGCCGTTTTAAAAACGTCATCTTCGTCGTAGAGAATTGTGTGTTTGTGTGCGGGGGGAGGGACAGTGAAAAGAAGAATAAGGGTTGTTTCCCCGAGTCTTCCTTGACAAAGAAGAGACAGTGTTTTGATTTATACAAGAGTGAGTATTATTTTAATTATTTATTTCAATAATTTATTAATATTTATTATTATTATTATTATTATTATTATTATTATTATTATTATTATTATTATTATTATTATTATTGTTGTTGTTATTATCATCAACGTTCTTTCATTCGGTCGTTAAGTAATTAGTTATTTAGTTAGTTAGATTTTTCCCCCATTCATTTACTCGTACATAATCGCATTCATCATCCCCCGTCGATGAACTTCAACAATTTAATCGTTATTAATTAAGAACGAAGAAAACGCAACAATCGAATCGATAATAAAATAATAAAAGAGAGTCGCACTTGGCGCCTTGTCCAAAACTTTTTTTTTTTTATTTCTCTCCCTCTCCCTCTCTCTTTCTCTCTCTCTCTCTCTCGATAAAAACATCGACGAATTTTTATTCTGTCATTTTCTTCTTCTTTTTTTGTTTCTTCTTCTTATTTTTTTCATTTTAATTATTATTTCAGCGAGTCAGATAATAATAATAATAATAATAATAATAAAGAAAGAACGTAATGGAAAACGCATTTCTTTGACGGTGGAAAGTTTTATAAACGATAGGATGCATGGTAAACACAGTGGGTCAAGTGTAACGCAGAAAGAGAGAAAGAGAGAAAGAGAGAGAAAAGGTAAAGACGAATAAAATTATAAAAGAATGAATAAACAATTGGTTAACAAGTCAGTACATTATCTAACTCTGAAAATATTAATCTTTTTATCATCTGAAAAAATTAAAACAACTAAAAAAGATTTAATAAACGAATCAGGTCGCGATCCCTGAACAAAACATCTTATCCCGGTCGATTATGTTTTTAGTCGAATCGTCTAGATTTTTTACAGAGTTCGACAACGAATATCTATAATTTTGCTTTTATATTTCTTTTTTTTTTCTTTTTTTCTTTTTTTTTTTCCTTATAAATCTCTTTTCAAATATACATGCATACATACATTTTTTTTTTTGTTTTTTTTTTCAGTTAACGAATAATAATAAACAAACATTGAAGAACTCGTTAATTTTCTAAAACGATACAATTAATCTGTTCTATGATACACGAAGAACAAATAATTCAATGATAAATTCAATGATAAATTCAATGATAAATTCAATGATAATGTAATTTATATCGATTTAGTAATATACAATTGAAAGCACCCTTCTGTTTTTTTCGCTAAATCGTTTCCACCACGATAAAAGAAAAAAAAAAAAAAAAAAAAAAAAAAAGTAAGAAAGAAGAGTAAAGCAAAAGAAAAAAAAAGAAAAAAAAATTGATTTACCGCCGTGTAACCGTATAACGACCGTAAAGCAGCTCACGTAAAAAGGGGAATTCATTGAGGTGGCCAAGTGGCGATTCACATTTTTTTCATTACGCAAGTCGCGTACAAAAGGTCATTGATAAAAACCATTCACCGGTAAGAATGTACGAGGAATGATTGCTTCTTCATTATAATGCATTTACACGTCTTTCTCCGTCCATTCTCCTTTTATTTTTTTCTTTTTTTTTTTTTTTTCTTTCCCATCCCCCACACCTCTCGCAAATTCTTTCTAAATTTCGCAGACATACCTATTTGTTCCATTGTATGATCGTTACAATGATTTTTAATACAAAATAGTCATGTGATTTTGTTCATTGTAGAAAAAAAAAGAAAAAAAAAAAATAATAAAAAAGAAAAGAAAAGAAAAGAAAAGAAATAATCTCGATGCTTGAACAAAAAAGAAAAAAAAAAAAGAAAAGAAAAGAGAAAAAAAGATAGAGATCCATAATTATTCTTATAAAAAGCATCGTTTTCTTTATCGAAAAAAAAAAAAAAAAAAAAAAAAAAAAAAAAAACAGAAAAAAAATGTCAATGCTCGAAGAACACAGTATTTAATAGTAGTAGTAATAGTAATAGTAATAGTAATAGTAATAGATTAAGAAATTTGAAAATTTTTAACAAGATTTTGTAAAATGTGATTGGTGTCTTTGTCGTACAAAAAAAAAAAAAGAAAAAAAAATGTGATCGGAATGATTAGCTTTTAGAAAGATTAAAGGGGAAAAAATGAAAAAATAAAAAAAGAAAAGAAAAATAATAAAAAGCAAGAGAGAAGACCTTAGTCTAACTTCCGTTTGAAAAAGGGAATATCCTCGTTGATTGGCCGGGCGGCCGGACGCGAGTAACAGTAGATAACCCCGCAAAAAAAATCTTCCATTCGTACCAAGTGTGGTGGTGAATCGTTGCGGCGGTGCTAGTCTATTCGGTCGATTGATTAATGGTTTCCTTGTATCCGATTCCGGTATCATATTTATTCGCTCATAAGAAATTCATCTGCGGTACGATTAAGCTCATAGAGAGAAAGAGAGAAAGAGAGAGGGAGAGGGAGAGAGAGAGAGAGAGAGAGAGAGAGAGAGAGAGAGAGAGAGAGAGAGAGAAAGAGAAATTTCTCGAAGGAAGAAAATCATTTTACAGAAAGATGGTCGATGGTCGCAATCATGAGGATAAATAATAAAACTAAAAAAGAAAAACAAAAAAAAGGAAAAAGTTAAAGAAAAAAAAATATATCTCGAAAGAAGAAGAAGAACGTGAGAAAGGAGTAACTTTCTACGAACTTGTAGGAAAGTAAATGAATGAAAAGAAGAAGAAAAAAAAAGAAAAGAAAAGAAAAGAAAAGAAAAGAAAAGAAAACTGAACGGAAGACGAAGAAGGACGGAGTTTGTTATTAGAAAAAGAGAGAGAAAAAGATGGATAGACGGACAGTAGAATAAAAAGAGAGAGAGAGAGAGAGAGAGAGAGAGAGAAGAATCTACGAGTATGTTTACGCGGTCAATGTAAAGTCGATAGCTTCATTGATAGCTTCATTCCCTTCCTCTCTCCTATCACACCATCCCTTCCTCCCCCCGCCCTATCTCACGTTTCACACTTTTCTCTCGTATTTCTCAATTGACTTCTCTTAGACGATGACGCATCTTTAAATAGAGAGAGAGAGAGAGAAAGAGAGAGAGAGAAAGAGACAGAGAGAGAGAGAGCATTGATAGAAAATGGCCGACATTATCGAACAAAAATGGTTGGACGAAAAGAGCGGGAAATTTCAAAATCATATTAGATAGAATACTTTATAGAGTTCTCCGATCGTAAGTACGTTTCTATTTGAATGAGGATTTGTTTTTGAGGATAAAGAAGCAAAAAAAAAAAAGGAAAGGAAAAGAAGAAAAAGAAAAGAAATGATGATCGCGCGTATTTTCTAAGAAAAATTAATTAATTAATCGAGCACCTGTCTGTCTCTCTCTTTTTTACTACTGTCGACGTCGTACTCGGGGAAAACCGGTCGGTAGGTCCGTCGGTAATTAATTATTCCATCGCGAAGACAAATTACGATCCCAAAGGATCTTTCATTTACTTTCTACTTTTTTTTTCTCTCTTTCTCTCCCTCCCCCTTCCTCTCTCTCCTTTGTAAAGCTCTCTTTATCATATCGCAAAAGGTACGAAATATAATACGATCGTTCTCTCGTCGAAAGTATTTTTCTTTCTCTCTTTCTTTATTTCTTTTTTTTTTTTTTTTGTTGTAAAAAAATAAGAAAAATATATATATATGTATATGGTACTCACCACCGGACGATCCATGGATGAACATATTCCTAATGATTGCCGTTTTCTCCTTGTAAGCGTCTACATCCGCCACATTTGAGCAAATACGTCGAAATTCGCGAAACAGATCGTCTTTCGTCGGTTTCTTTACCTTCGACGCCATTTTAGAGTCCACGAGATCGTCCATCTTGCGATCATCCGAACAACTCTCAGGATTATCAACGGATCCCCTTAATTCCTTCGACATTTTCTTTCTCATAGGGGATTTCATCTCGTCGTCGGTTTTATTTAATAATTTATTATTCAACTTTGTTGATTGACCGTCCGTAGGATTTTCTTTTCTTTTTAATGGCGCTTTCGGTTTTGTTGGTTTGTAAGGACCTACGAGAAATAGTAAATAAGTGATTGAGTAAGAAAAGGAAGACAAAAAAGAAAAAAAAATAGAAAAAGAAAAAGTAAAAGCAACGATGAACGCGAAACGATAGATTTCTTTTCTTTTGGTCTTTGTTTTCTTTTTTTTTTCTTTTCTTTTATTTTATTTTATTTCTTTTTTTTTTTTTTTGTTTCTTTCAATTAAATCAAAAACGCACGAAGCGTAAAAGTTAAAACAAAGTTTTATTCGATAAAAGAAAAAAACGAAAAAAAAGAAAGAGAGAGAGAGAGAGAGAGAGAGAGAGTGAGAGAAAGAGAGAGAAATGAAGGACAGTATCGATAGCCTTTAAATTTATGGACCTCCGAACAAATACTGTTAATCGTTTGAAATAATAGTGCATTATTATTTTTCAAGTCTACAACACCGTGTCCAGTGGTGTAATCTGCGAACTGGATACAAAAATGGCGGCTGTCTTAGCCGTATAAATCATTTGTTAATCTTCTCTTTTTCTCTCTCTCTCTCTCTCTCTCTCTCTCTCTCTTGATCCAGTGCATTCAACAAAGACCGATAGAAAAGGGGGCTGTCACCGTGGATACGAATATACGTCTCTGTAAAGAAAATTGATAGTTATAATTTGTAGTATCTTGATTTAATTACGTCAATTAACACATTCACATTATCGGTATTTATCGATAGTTGAGTAAATAATAATAGGAGAACGCGATCGAAAGTCTTGCAAACATCGACAAGCTTCTCTCTCTGTCTCTCTGCTCCTCTCTCTCTCTCTCTCTCTCTCTCTCTCTCTCTCTCTCTCTCTCTCTCTCTTTCTGTCTCACTCTCTTCGAGCGATTTCAGTTCTCAACTCAAATAAATTTCACTTCTTCTTCTTTTTTTCTTTTACGAAATAATCTCTCACCAATATCGCGAAGATGATGACACGATGACGATTACGTCATAATCAATTTTAAACATAGTCAAATATAACGATGATGCTGTTCCCATTAAATGATACGACGATATCTTCGATATATTTTTACGAAAGTAAAATAAGA